GGTTTCCTTTGTGTAGCGGAAACAACCGAATTTAGTTGACACATTCGTTGCACAATGTGGAAAGTGCTACAAGTGGAGATCCATTGAGTCCCAAGAAGACTATGAAGTGATTCGAAGCAAAGCACTGGACAAGTCATTTGAATGCAAGCATAACTGTGAAGAACCTGGAGATGTTGATGTGGAGGGTGATTCCACGAGGGTATGGTTGGTAGATAATCAACATGGTTTACCCAAAACCCCTCATGGACTCAAGAGGATCTTGGTTCTCAGGGAAAGCTGCGAGAGAGTCGATGTGTATTATGTTACACCTCAGGGAAAGAGGCTAAAGAGTCGCAAGGAAGTCGCTGGTTTTATCAAAGACAATAAAAGTTTCAAAGGCACACGCATTGAAGACTTTTCTTTCGTTACGCCAAAACCGATGAAGAAAACCATGTTTAAGTGATGTTATTCCAGTTGCTCATGTCATAGTAACAAGACTTGAAAAGATAAATGGGTGGCTAAGGATTATGATTATCTCTATTTTTGTTTTAGTTTTTCCTTCTTTATGATGAATGATCTATAATTGGACCACCAATTTCTTACTGGGGCAAGTTTATGGGAAATATTCTGGGGCCTAATCAAATGTTCTTCTATTTTTATTGTCAAAGAGGTCAATTTTTTTGGGGCCTAATCAAATTTCGACTTTTTAAGTTGACTACGAGATCCGCTTCATCTTATTTTGTTCACATTTCAGTTCACTAGTATTTTATAATTTATGTTACGAATTTGTTTGAGCATGAAATTATTGTTTCATGAATAAAGAATCAAGATTTAACTTTTTTTATATTGAATGGAAGTAAGCAAGGACTAATGAGAAGGTAGAATAGTGATTGTTAAATATTTAGCGTTACTAGAGGAAAAAATGGGTGTTTTAAGAAGTAGATACGTCGTCGAAATTAGAGATATAGTGGTGTGTCCATTAAATCTTTTTTTCCAACGTCATAATCCTGCATAAATTTTAGTGTGGAGCACGAATATTGCAGTTTCTTCCAATGAGGTTTTTAATGTCCAACTTAATGACCAAAAAGCTGTTTGGCCCAATGGCAATACCTCCCTGAAAAGAAACGGAGCTTCACCTTCTGGGTTTGAATCTCTTTGAGAGAATACTAATTTATGTGGTTTTGTAGTCCGGTCCACAGAGTCTTTATGATAGAGACGTACATGCCTAAAACCTCGAACTTCGCGGTTATACAAAAAAAAATATGATGAAGTAGAGGTTTCACGAGATAAGTGTGATGAACAAATAGAGAAGAACATGGATTTTTTTTTTTTTGGTCAAAAACACTTCAATTAAGGTTACAAACCAAAGGGATCCGAAACATTTGCTAAAGAGTCAAGAGACTTGAAGTTGATAGAAATTGAAACATACAACAAGATAAAGATAACAAAAAAAAAAAACGGTTACAATCGTGGACAATAACCGGAAATTCTATGGAATTTTTTTTAGAAAAGATCTATTTCAAGACGATCATTAGCTCTTCCTCCATAAGAAGCTAGCGAATAAATTTTTGAGCTCTTAATACCTTCAAGGTAAAGCTTTCAAAGACACACTCTATAAAGGAGGAAATTGATGGTAAAGATTTGTCCTATAGGAAGACAAAGATGGAAGTGCTCTCTCCAAAACCGAGAAAAATGATGGGATTGATCTCTCCATGTAAGAGGAATTAGATGAAAGTGTTCTTTCCAGGTCGGAGGAAAAGGATAAACATTTGATAATGTAATATAGGTTTTACCACATAAACCGCCTCACTTGAGAGTCTAAAGTAATGATTCGTAGAAACATAAGATAATGTATTATATATTTGCAATTTTTCGAATACAACATACATACATATGGATTCTGGAGATAGATAGACAAAAAGGTTTACCGGCGTTAGGATGCGTTAGTTCAGTTTCGTTAAACAAATGAATAAGAAATGCTAATTGAAATTACAAATTAATACAAAAGAAGCTTGCAAG